GTGCAGATTTTGGAGTTGGTAGTGGCTGATCGAGAGGTCGGTTGCAGACATTTCATCTAGGGGACCCAAGGTAGTTCTGCCGGCGTCCGAAGGCCCTGGCATCCCCTCCTATGTCTCTACATTCCTGGTTTCTTTCTTTCGAGACAGATGTAATTTCTTTCAGACCAATGTTTGTAGATATTCATAGTATGTTCGTGGATTGTGACATAAGTTTTTGGGTAGTAACAATTATGGTATTGTTAATAGTATATAGATGTCAGGTTAATTCAATACTTCCGCATTTATCTCAACTTGATTTAGCTTTGTTAATTTTAATCCATGAAATGTAAAGGAAAAGGTGAATAAAACTCTAACGTTGGCTTGCCTAGCGAGTGCAATGTTAGGCGCTATCACGATCCCAATGGTGAGAATTTCGGATCGTGAAAAGTTGGGTAGTTTTTATTTTTTATTTTAAACTCCAACTTGAAACGACTGCCAAATTTGAATAGATAATTTCTTTATATATTTTTGTTTTTTATTATCAAATAATTTTAAAACTCCGACTTTTTGTAGTTTTGTCCTAAAAATCTACATCATCTTATGGTTGTGTCACTTGGCATCATATATATATATATATATATATATATCATCATATCACACTATATTATAAGCGGGAAGACCTAAGCTTAAAGTTAGATTACGAAATTGTCCCTCAAAAGTTGAATAACCATTTTGTCTTTCACTTGAACATTATTTCAATATATATGTCTTTCTACGAAAAAGAACCTACATTTCGATTACCAAAAAAACGTATATTTCAATTTTAATGAATATGATAATGAAAAGACAAATGATCCATTACTGCAGAGCTAGAATAATTTATCTCTAACCTTTGGGTTGCTTTTCCTTTTAATTTCAACACTTATTGCAGAATGCATTCGAGTAAACGTGAGCATTTTCTCTATCTTTATTTATTGCTAAATTATAAGCTAACGCAATTCAACAATTTATCTGATTTCATCTCTGGCACACCACCATTATACACCTTTGAAATTCGGTAAACTTTTTTCTTTCCTTTTACTTTTTCATCTAAGTTTTATTAATTTCTATAACTCTTTTTTTTGCTCTTCTTAGCCGCTTAGTTATACACGACAGTAGTTGCATAGAAAGATTTTATATTTTAATGAATTGATTGTCAAATTTCGACAATAGCCTGGCATATAAAAAAAGGTAAAAGGTAGATTACTATTTTGGGATATGCAGTTCATAAGTAATTTAATATCTTCATTTGTTATGGTATATAAGCTGAATTCCTTTGGGTGTGAATTTTTTTGCTAGAATACAATCTTTTATTTAATCATATGCGTCATATTTTTTCTTGTCGGACCATAGCTTTTTGATAGTAGACGACAATTATGCAATTTAGATACTATTTACACTCTAATTTGGTCGCACTTTATCAATGTTTAAATGTAAAAGATAACAAAATGCTCTAATTAAGAGTTTTACATTTTGCAGGAGCCACTCCGAGCTAGGAAGAAGCTAAAGAGTGTTTTGGAGTCAATATGGAGCGTGGAAGGCCAATCGGAGGATAGCTCGGTCGAAAAGGAGAAAGAAGAGCAAGTTCCAGCTCCGCGGTCAGCTCCACGATCAGATCCGCGGCCGCGAACAGAACAATTGCCAAATCTGCGGTCCAATCCGCGGCCGCGAACAGGAGCCAAGAACCCATGGTCAATTATGTAATTTTCAGGGCGCCTAACCTAAACCTATATGAAGCCTAATTCGTCCAAAAGAGAAAAAGAGTTGTTTTGAGAGAGATTTTGAAGGCAAGAACACGGAAGAAAGACAGACAATTTTCTTAGAGTTTTTATCTTCTTCTTTTTAATTCCATTGTTGATTATGACTTTATATAGTGAATTTTTATCTCTTAGTATGAGTAGCTAAACCCGTCATCTAGGGTTGATGGAACCAATTGTTGGATGAAGTCTTGATTCTGTTTTGATATAATTGAGCCGTTTTTACTCTATGATTGTTCAACTACGTGTTGTCTTGTGATTAATTGAAAGGGCCCTCGATTAATCGTGTCTAGTTACCTTGTGTTGCTTGAGAAAGAACACTTGATTAGATTGTTGTTGAACAACACCACTTTCGGGTAAGTTAAGAGATTAATTACTTGAATTTAAAAGCAGGGTTAGAGATAACGAAGCTTTGGTGGGATAATTCTGAGTTGCATAAATTGTTAACTAGAGTAGTTCGAGAGAATGTTTCTAGTAAATTGTCGTAATTGATCGAGAGATAATTGCGGTAACCCAGAACTCATATTTCTTATAGAGTGTTAAGGCGAGATTATAGCTAACGTGCCAGGAATTAATTCGACAATTGGGAAAATCAATAACCCTAGACCATTTTACCATTGAATTCAACTCTATTTTAGATTATTGCTAGTTTTATTATTATTTTTCCTTAGTTAACTAAATTCTACTCATTATCCATTAAAAATCTTGTATCCGATAATTGTTTGAGCTTGTCATTAGCAGTGTTAAAAGTTGTAGTAAATAGGTTAGTTCCCTGTGGGATTCGACTCCGAACTGGACCGGATTATATATTTGCAGCGACCGCTTAGTACTTTTTATAAGGCATAGTTGGGCGTGATCAAATTTTAGCATCGTTGCCGGGGAACTAACAGTGTTATTTATTGCAACTTGGAAGAATTGCTAGGATTACTAGTTTAGATCAATTTTATGTGGTGTTAAACAATAGTTCCATTGAAATTCTCACGGTTGAACTCTTCTGTGACTCAGGTGCATGCCTAGAAGCTCTTTGAGAACTGGTGAACTCTTTGAAGGACTCTCAGATCCCGAGAAAGCATTTTAGACATTGAACCAGGCTAACAAGAAGAGCAAACAGATGAAACAAAACGAACAAATTGAAATTGAAATGGATGACGTAGTCAACATCAACGGGAACAACAGGAATGATCGAGATGACCCAAACGTCAGAGTGGTAGCACCTCTTGTGCTGGAAGCTGCTCTTTACGATTGGGTGAAACCAACTGCTGATAACCTGGTCACAGCGATTGCGCTTCCTCCCATACAAGCGGAGACGTTCCAGATTACCAAAAACATACTGCACTTGTTGCAGAATAAAGGGCTGTTCTCCGGGTCATACATCGAAGACCCACAACAACATCTGAAGAACTTTCTATCAATATGTGTCACTCAAAGACAGCCAAATGTGACTTCTGAGGAAATCAAATTATTACAGTTCCCATTCTCAGTGGCCGGGGAGGCTCAAACTTGGCTGAATTCGCTCCCAATAAACTCCATTGCTACTTGGGAGGAACTAGTCAAGTAGTTCTTAAACAAGTTTTATCCACCCAACAAAACTGCGAGGCAGATAGATGAGATATTGCTATTCATGCAGAAACCGACTGAGACTTTGCAAGAGACCTGGGAGTGGTTTAAGGGTATGTTGGTGAAGTGTCCTCACCATGGCATTCCGGATCAGATGCTGGGACAGAGATTCTATATGGGTTTGGCTGACAGTCTGAAGGCCAATGTAGATGCTTCTGTCGGGGGTGCATTCTTGAGCAAAACCTTCACAGAATGTAAGATTCTTCTTGACAAGATGTCTGAAAATTAATAGAGAGAGTAAGGTTCTACATTAGATTAGTATAGAAAGGATTTGCACGATATCTAATATATTATAGTAGCCAAGAAATTGAGTGATTCCTTCTTTCTTCCAACTTTGAAAGTACCGATAGATACTATCATAGAAAAAGAAGAGGTGGTCCGAATAGTGAATTTTTCAAAAACATGATCAGAAAAATGAGAAAAATGGAGTTTTTGAAAAGAAAAAGAAATCCATTTTATCATTTAGACGAAAAAATATTATGATTCTTAAGAACTCAACGGGCCTTCAGGCTGGATGACGAGAGACACAACACTCACACCAATAATGCATTCTGTCGCTCTTGACCCAAACAACACAAATGCAGAAAACATAGCCACTCTTATGACCCAGATGATCTTGCTAACAAAGAAAATCGATGAGATGGGTATGAAACAGGTGCACATTGTTGATACCACAAATGGAGGCTTATGCACTCCTTGCATAAACCAGTCATATGTGTGCTCGTGGAGTGGAGAGAATGACAACTAGGATTTTAGAGAGGACATGAATTATGTCAATAATTTTGGAGGTTAGAGGCAAGGTGGACAACAATGGGGACCAACATCAAACCAGCAGTACAAACCAAACCAGCCATATCATAAACCCAATCCAGGAGGAGCACGACCACAAGGCCAAGTCGTGCCTTATCAAAGGCAGCAGGGCTATAAACAGCAGCACTAGCAACAGTTGGCCTACCAACCACCTCATTACCAGCAGGTCGTACTTGATTGGTTCAAAAGTTATTGTTTATACTGACCATGCAACAATTAGGTACTTGGTAGCAAAGAAGGAGTCAAAGCCACGCTTGATCCGCTGGGTTCTTTTGCTACAAAAATTCGATCTGGAGATCCGTGATAGAAAAGGGATAGGAACCAGGTAGCAGACTCACCTCTCAAGGTTGGAAGGAGCTGAAAAGAAGGTAGATGTTGAAGATATAACACAGACATTCCCGGATGAACAATTACTAGTAGTGACAATGGAGGAGACACCATGGTATGCTGATATTGCAAATTATTTAGCAAGCGGTATTGTACCTTATGAACTCTCTTCAATTCAAAAGAAAAAGTTCTTTCGCCATTGTCGGTTTTATGATTGGGATGAACCTCTTCTTTTTAAAATGTGTAGATAACATGATTTGGAGGTGTATCCCCGAGAAAGATCAACCTTCTGTTTTGCAGGCTTGCCATGCTTCACCATATGGTGGACACTTTTGAGGGATTCAGACAGCAGCTAAGTTGTTGGAATCGGGTTTGTATTGGCCAACTCTGTTCAAGGATGCCTATGTTTGGGTGAAAAGTTGCGATGAGTGCCAAAGGACATGCAACATATCTCGACGTCACTAGATGCCAATGACTACTATCCAAGAGGTGGAGGTATTTGACATGTGGGGGATTGACTTTATGGGGCCATTCGTCAGCTCATATGGTAACAAATACATACTGGTGGCAGTTGAATATGTCTCCAAATGGGTTGAATCTGTGGCTCTCCCAACCAATGATGCAAAGGGGGTGACAGGCTTTCTAAAGAAAAACATCTTCACACGTTGTGGCATCCCGAGAGTTTTAATCAGTGATGGTGGAACCCATTTTTGCAATAGAGCGTTCGTACGGTTGTTGGAAAAGTATGGAGTTCGTCATAAGGTGACCACCGCTTATCACCCACAGTCAAGCGGGCAAGTTGAAGTGTCAAACCGAGAAATCAAAAGTGTCCTAACCAAGACAGTGAATGCGATAAGGACTGATTGGGCAAAGAAGCTGGATGATGTATTATGGGCATACCGCACAACATTTAAAACTCCAATTGGTATGTCACCATACAAATTGGTGTTTGGAAAAGCATGCCACCTTCCGGTAGAGCTCGAGCATAAAGCCCTTTGGGGACTACGGCAGTTGAATTTGGATATGGAGACCACAGGCACCAGTAGAGTCACTGAGTTACATGAACTCGAGGAATTCAGGTTCCATGCATTTGAGAATGCAAGATTGTACAAAGAAAGGATGAAAATGATGCATGATAAGCATATTCTAGATCGGAACTTCAAATCAGGAGATCTAGTGTTGCTATACAACTCGAGACTAAGATTGTTTCCGGGTAAATTGAAGTCCCTATGGTCAGGACCCTTCAGAGTGGTGCAAGTGTTCTCAAGTGGAGCTGTAGAAATTGAATCTGAAGATGGAACAAATAAGTTCACAGTGAATGGGCAACGGTTGAAACATTACCTTGGAATGGTCACAGAAAAGGGGGACAGAGTGGTGATATCTTTGGAAGAGCCCCAATATATGAGCGAAGAGTAATAATGAAACCCTGCATCGTGCCGCGACGTTAAATCGGGTGCTTCCTGGGAGGCAACCCATGGTTTGTTGTAAATCGTCATGCCGCGACGTTAAATTAGGCGCTTTTTGGGAGGCAACCCATTATTTTTTCTTTATTCTTATTTTTTGTAATTGATTTTTGAACGCTGACAATATTGACCGATCTACTAAGGTGCAGGAACGAAGGTATGCGTAGCGGAAAGACTCGGGGTGACGAAATTATCCCGGAGATAGGCAAAAGTGAAAAAAGCAAAAAAAAAAATTGGGATGCCTATCCGCAGCCGCGGATCTGACCGCGGATTTTGAAGATGTTCTGTCCGCGGCCACAGATTTTACCGTGAATCCGGCCGCGAACCTGGCGCTGTTCAGGTGTAATTTTTTTTTAAATTTTTTTTCTTTTCTTTTCTTTTCTCTTTTCCCCTTTTAATCAAGTTTTTTTTAATTAACTCCCCCCCTCATCCACCCACTCCCCCACTCTTTTCCCCTCCCCCTTAAACAAATAACAACAACAACAACAACCTAGTAAAATCCCATTAGTGGGGTCTGGGGAGGGTAGTGTGTACGTAGATCTTACTCCTACCCCGAAGGAGTAGAGAGGCTGTTTCCAGAAGACCCTCGGCTCAAGAAAAACACATCTAAAACCCTCCCCCTTCCCCAAATCAAACTAGCGTTCCCCTCCCCCATCTTCTCTCCAATTTGTTTTTCTAACTTCACCAAATCTCCTCTCCTTCTCCCTCTTCTCTACTCAACCGCTACCCAAGCTCCATTCCTCACAAGATTCTCAAGTAAGTACATGCCTCTAATTTCTTTTTTAGTTTTTTCTTATTTTTCAATTTTTTTTGCATTCTGTTTTTTCTCTTCTATTGTAAAGAAAAGTATTTGTAATCGTAGTATTGCAAAGTGGCTTGTGGTGATAGCACCACAAGTTAGAAAAAGCCTTTGTAACTAGGATAGTCACAAAGGGGCTTGTGGTAAAGGTGCCAAGTTAGTTTGAAGTCTTTACAATCGGGAGCATTGTAAAGTGGCATGTAATAGGTAAGATTACAAGTTAGTGAAGTTAAAATCCTACTGGGTAGGTCGTGTTTTTTTTATCCCCTTGTGCGGGATTTTTCCACGTAAAGATCTTCTGCCTCATTTACTTACTGCCTTACTAAGTGCTCTCAGCAGAAACTTGTGGAGGACCAGGTACTCTACGATTTGGTGGACCCATACAAGCTAACAATTTGTATCAGAGCGGGTTCCTCCTATCAGGTTAACACCTAGGAAGGATCCTCATGGTGGCTCCACTAAATTTTGAAGAAGGTCAATCCATATATCACCCACCCAAGTTTGATGGAAAATGCTATTGGTGGTGGAAAGCTAGAATGCATGATTTCATCATGGCTGAGGATTATAAGCTTTGGGATGCTATCTGCGATGGTCCGTTATTCCAATCAAGGTACTAAATGAATTCCCTTTTTCAATAAGAAATTCCTGCAGAGAATACTCTGAAGAAGACAAGAAAGCGGTAGAGAAGAATTCTCGTGCCAAGAAAATTCTGATATATGGTTTCGGACCTAAAGAGTATGATAGAATCTCTACATACGACACTGCCAAGGAAATATGGGAGGCTTTGCAAGTAGCTTATGAGGGAACAACACAAGAACAACAAGATAAATCTAACACTGATGATAGTTCTATGATGGTAGCTGAAGGCGAGGAGATTGGACACGACTCAATGCTTGCCTTGATGGCTCAATCAGACAATGAGAAGACAATGGCAACGAAGAGGTAAACTTCAGGGATGTTTAGAAAAATCTGAAATCCTATTCTCCAAAAAAACTCATGTATTTAGCTGATGTTTTAATTATTGCCTTTTGTAGTCTTGCGGAGGATAGGGATTCCTTGTTCCTAGAACTAGAAGAATCTGAACATATTAGAAAAAATCTAGTGGCTGCTATTACTAATCAAAAGAAAATCACTGAAATTCTTAGAAAAGAAAATAGTGATCTCTTAGAAGAAGCTGCTGACCTAAGGGAACAGATAGTAAAGCCCTTGACTGAGTCAAAACCTGAAAGCTCAGAAAAAAGAAAGGAGAGTTAGTGAGGAATATTCTAGGCTTGAAGATGAGGTGAAGGCCTTGAGATGTAGGATGAGTGCTGAAATTGAGAAATACGAGCTTCTCCAAGTCAATTTAGAAAAAGTAATGAATGATCTTGAAAAGTCTCTAAAGTGGACCTGGTCCGTAAAAGCTACCACAACCTTGCTCACTAATGACAGTGAAAAGTGGCGGACAGTAAGGTTCCCAAGGAAGAAAGATCCTTACAACCCTCACAGTAAGAATGCCACTATATTGGATAACTGGCCTCGTACCCAATATGGGAACAGCGGGCACTCCATGGAAAGTGTCCAGGCCAAGAATCAGTTAGTTCCAAGAGATAAAGTGGCTGCTGAAACTGTGACCACAAAAGAGGGACCAGGTTCCACTTACAGAAAACGCACTTTACCTGCATGGACTAAGAGAGCTCTTATTCATCCTCTTGGTTACTACAAGGGACCCAAACTTGTTTGGGTTCCTAAAACTAACTCCTAATTTTCTTGTGCAGGGAACAGTGAAGGGAAGCGATCAACAATGGTACATGGATAGTGGATGTTCGAAACACATGACTAGGAACACCACAGACTTTCTTTCACTAAAAGCCCTGCAAGGAGGGAGTGTATCCTTTGGCAATGGCAAAAATGGGTACATTCTTGGAGTTGGAAAAGTTGGGAAGTCACTCACTCACTTTATTAAAAATGTGTACTACGTCAATGGACTTAAGTACAGTCTCTTGAGCGTTTCTCAAATTTGCGATAAAGGAAACAAGGTGGAGTTCTTGTCCAAAATATGTATAGTCACTGACCTTGTGACTGGTGAAATAGTTCTGGTGGCCAAAAGATACAAGAACATCTATGTTGCTGACTTTGAATCCTTACAGAGTGGTGATCTGAGTTGTTTGAAGGCGGTTGGCGATGATGCGGAACTATGGCATAGAAGACTGGGCCATGCAAGCTTTTCCCTCCTGAATAAACTAATTCAGAAGGACCTGGTCCATGGTCTGCCTGTGTCACAATTCAAAACTCAAAAAGTCTGTGATGCCTGTGCTAGAGGAAAACATGTAAAGTCTTCCTTTAAGTCAAAAAGAGATGTGAGCACCTCAAAACCTCTTGAGCTCCTGCATATGGATCTGTGTGGACCTATGAGGGTGCAAAGCAGAGGAGGAAAAAGATACATTTTCATGATCGTGGATGAATATTCCAGATTCACATGGACTCTCTTTCTCAGAACAAAACATGAAACTGTTGAAGTATTTGTGGCCTTTGTAAAGAAAATTCAGGTAAAGATGGAGTCTAGAGTTGTATGCATTAGATCAGATCATGGGATAAAATTTGACAATGTCAAATTGATGAGTTTGTAACGAAAATGGGATCACTAACAACCTCTTAGCACCAAGGATCCACAACAAAATGGTGTTGTTGAAAGAAAGAAACAAGGTATGGCACCTGGTACCTAGACCCTCAGGCAGAACCATCATAGGGACCGGGTGGGTATTCAGGAATGAGCTGGATAAACATGGAAATACTACAAGGAACAAAGCAAGGCTCACTGTCCAAGGATACAATTAGGAGGAATGGATCGATTATGATGAGACTTTTGCTTCAGTAGATCGCATGGAAGCTATTAGGATCCACCTTGCCTTTGCTTCACATATGGAATTCACTCTATTCCAAATGGATGTGAAGAGTGCCTTCCTGAATGGTTTTCTCAAAAACAAGTCTATATCAAGCTACCTCCAGGTTTAGAATGTCATGTACATCCTGAACATGTATTCAAATTTGGTAAGGCACTGTATGGATTGAAGCAGACCCCTAGAGCATGGTACGAGAGACTATCCAGTTTCTCATGGAAAATGGCTTCACAAGAGGAAAGATTGACAATACATTATCTTTGAAGAAACGGGGAAGGAACCTGCTCATTGATCAGATTTATGTAGATGACATCATGTTTGGAGCTACAACTAACTCATTATGTGAAGAATTTGCTAAACTCATGGGAAGTGAGTTTGAGATGAGTACGATGAGGGAACTGAATGTCTTCCTAGGTCTTCAAGTGAAGCAGTCCATAAAGGGAACATGTATTAGTTAGAAATGCAAACTCTTGAAAAGGATTGATATGGAAGCATAAGAATCATTGGATCTCTACTCTACCTTACTGTCAGCAGGCCAGACATTGTATTCAGTGTGGGATTACATACAAGGTTCCAATCAAATCCTGAGGAATCTCATCTGAAGGCTGCTAAGAGAATTCTGAGATATTTGGGCACACAGAACCTGGTTCCGTACTATCCTTCAAGGGACAGTTTTCAACCTTATTGGTTATGCTAACGCTGATTATGCAGGTTATCTGGTGGACAGGAATAACACGTCTGGAATGGCTCATTTCCTTAGGTCATGCTTTATCTCATAGGGTATAAGGAAACAAAACTCAGTAGCTTTCTCAACAGCTGAAGCAGAATATGTTGCAGCTGCTAAGTGATGTGCTCATTCACTGTGGATCAAGCGACTATGGGGAAAAGGGTCTTATTTGTATAAGTTTTTGTTGCACGGAAGATCAGATTGCAGATATCTTCACAAAGCTCTGAGCAGGGAATACTTTGAGAAACAAGATGGCATTGGGATTACTTGGACCTAATCGAGAACCTGTTTCTGCCGACATGACTGTGATAGTCACACTAAGGTAAAATTGGCTAAAGTGTTTTCTGACTAGGCCTAACTAACATCTATACCATTGCAGGTAAACACGCATGATGATCATAGAAGCTAAAGGTACAGTGTTGAACTTTGGAGGAGAGCTGCAAAAACCCTTTCACAAAAATAGGTCAGGAACCTGGTTCCTGCACCACAGGTTAGTAGTAATGTGTTTTTCGCATGCTTGTTCAAAGAAAAAGGATAGCAAAATTAAT